TTTATGACAAATTATTACCATTATTTAAAATTTGAACTTTGACTCGAAATATTAAGTGTAAATTATAACTTGAGTTATGAGAGTGGGCCTTATGGGGAACTGAACCTTATGGATTTGATTTTTGTATCCTCAGAAAAATATTTTTTAATAAGGATAGCTTTGATACTGAGGATACACCTTATCCTCAATAAACCCTTAATTATAAAAAAAAATATTATTGTTTCGCTTTAAACAAGTAAATATGTCACAATATAAATCGGAACTTGAAAACAGTAGTTTCAATCAATGTAAAAGTTTTTTTAATAAACATTGAAAATGGCGTCGCTAAATCAGATAATTTGTGTTTATAAAGTCTATCTGTTGAAAGCAAATATAATTTTTATAACATAAATTTATTAGAAAATGAATATTTTTAAAGTTGTAAAAATTATTATGTAATTAACAAGATGATGCAAAGAATTATTATTTTGTTTAAATTTTGATAACATTTATTTATTTGTAAACTGTTTTTCAAAAGTCGGTACTGAGGTGTCCCGATTTTTTGTGTTTATTTTGTTTATTATTTTTGGGAATCGTTTTTTGTAATAAATTCGCTTATTTTTTCCAAGTTAAAAAGAGAAAAACGGTCTTCAAAAAATAATTTTTTACTTGAAGAATTTATAAGCATTAAAAAATTCCATATAAAATTTGAAATAACGGGATTTTTGTTTCAGAAAAACACACGAATTATCCCAAAAGTGCATTTTAGTACAAAAGCAAATAAACTATATGTCAGTCTTTTTCATTATCAAACATTTTAATAATTAATGAAATATTCACAAAACAAAAGCTTAGTTCGAAGATTAGTATGCTTAGTAGTGTTGTCACAATAACAATAAAAATAACAAAATGATTTGATAATTTATCTTTGTTGGGTTTTATAAAGTCGACATTCTTTTTGAGCATTTCAGTGAGAACATCTTTTTTAAAATATCCAATAACAAAACAATATTGTTATTTTGTATTATTTTTCTAGTGTTGCCCTTTGACAATTTTGACTTATGCCTGTCAAAATTATCAAACATTTGCTGTAATTTTTGGTGTTTTTGGAACTCTTTATTTCATTATTTTTTATTCAGAGAAGATAACCACATGTTTGTTTTTAATTGAAAATATTTTTTTAACGAAAGTAATTATCAGTTAAAACTCGACACAAACAACAACATCCCAATTCACTTAAACGTTAATTGTTGTGCTTTTAGGTCAACAATGCTGTGTATATGTTGCGAAGTATCGAGTTATGGTCAAATCAAATAACGGGATCGGGTTTTTTGGAAAAAGATGGTTAATATTCCGATATTTTCCCGAATTTGTACGAAAATAATTGAACGGGATTGGTATTTTTTTCAAAATAAAGTCAGTACTTTCGATTTTTTGTTTTTTTAGGAAAAAACAAAAATAAAAAACGGGACTTTAGGAAGTTCTAAAAATATGACAGTACCGACTTTTGAAAAACAGTTTATATAAAGATATTATCATGTCGTATTTAATTGTTTCTCATGTAATTTAATATTTTGTGTAACACCACAAATAAAAGTTCAATTGTTGATTTAATAAATTAAATAATATTAAATAATGATAGTTTGCCAAAATATGTTATCATTATATGTGTTGTAAATATTACATTAAGTAATGTTTAAAATGTCAAAAATTAATAACTAAAAACATATATGTTGATTAAATAACAAACAAATTATGCGAAATTAAGTATTGTGTTATTTGCCAATAAAATTGTGTTTGTTTTTCAAATTTATTCAAATAATCAATTCAAAACCTTCAAAACAAACTGTAAGGTATAATTTAAGCGTAATATGATTTAATGTAAAACACAAATTTTGTAGTTGGTGATTATTATTATAATATTGTTCTCAATTGAACTATTTTTATTTATACTTGTGATAATCATTACAATCACATTAACATTTAGAATATATACCGTAAAAATAAAAAACAACAATGATTGAGAGTTTAATATTCATTTTATCATGATTCAATGTAATATATATTACTTCTCAAATTTCTTTTACAAACATGTAAATAAAATCCGGTTAATAAATAGGGTCGAGAAGTATTTTGTGTTTATTTTGTTGGACAACTCAAATAAAACTAATAATTCAAATTAATAAAACATCTAAATGTTTCGGTTTTGAAATATATTATTTAATGTTTTTTACAGTCAAGGGAAAAGGTGAAATGTTGAGAAAAAATTGCTAATTTCAATATAAATTTATTTTGGTGTTTTTCATTTTATTGATTATTTGAATAATTATTAATATAATTTCATGTATAAAAATAACCAATAATTGTGGTCATTTTTTGGCATACCTATATTTCCTCTTACTGTAACTTAAAGTTATTTCCTATTGTATTTTTTAAACAAATAATTATTTTTTTTAATATAATTAATATAAATTTTTGTTTCCATATCAACAACACAACAACTTTGTAGTTTGATGTTTTACAAATGGAATGTTTTATTTTATAATCTTTTTAATTCATTCAGAATGATTTTGATCTTATTGTTTGTGTTGTCGGACAGTTTAAAGTGGTGTAAAATAGAAAACACAATTATTTGTGTTTATACCAATGTCGGATGTCCGACTTCGTATCAATGGTGTGTTGAAGGATTGTTAATATCGATAAGTAAATTCGATATGAATACTACAATAGAATGTGGTATAAACACAAAACTAAATGTAAATCTGCCAAATGGAACCGAAATAAAAATGAAGTTTACTGATAAACAAAAAGAGTTTAAACTTGAAGAATATATAGTCAATAAAAAAACAAAGGTTAAAAAAGAAACGTGTTATGTTTCAAATTGTAACACTTGTAAAATGGGAAATCCCAATGTTTGTATGGTTTGTAATGATGGATATTATGTTTACGGTTATGATAAAAGTTCGTGTAATCGATGTGCTAACTCTGTGTGTAAACAATGCAATTCATATACATCTCAGTGTTCTTCTTGTTATGATGGATTATATTTAAACAGTGATTTTGAGTGCGATTATTGTAGCAGTAATTGCAAAACATGTAGTTCTAAAGAAATATGTACAGATTGTAATAATGGGCAATATTTGTTAAATGGAAAGTGTTTAACTTGCCAATTTTGTCATAATTGTGGTACTCAAACTGGATGTTCACAATGTTGGGATGGATATTACAAAGAAAACAAAGGGTGTACGCTGTGTGATCCCAATTGTAATACATGTGGACAAACTGGTTGTACTTTATGTAAGAGCACTTTTTATGTTGAAGGAAAAAGATGTGGAAAATGCACACAAAATTGTAACGATTGTAATGGACCAAATTACAACCAATGTATAACATGTGAAGCAAATTACTACATACAAGATGGAGTTTGTACACAATGTGATCCAAACTGTCGAATTGGATATTGTAGCCATGATAATGGATGTACAAGTTGTAAAGATGGTTATTATATAACAGAAACAAGATGTTCAAGATGTTTATCTCCTTGTACGTCATGTAGTGGACCTGGAAATGATCAATGTTCAGCTTGCCAAACGGGATATTATCTTTATAATTCTGGTTGTTATCAATGTGATACAAATTGTGTTACTGGATATTGTTTTGATAACCAAGGGTGTACCGAGTGCAAACCTAAATATTATAAAAATGGGTTGAATTGTGCCAGTTGCCACGCCAGTTGTAAAACATGCAGTGGAGGTACACAGTCGAGTTGCACTTCTTGTGATTCCGGTTATTATCTTGATGGAGGAGTTTGTATGGCGTGTGATACAAACTGTGTGAATGGGAGATGTGTAGATTCACAAGGATGTACCCAATGCCAAAATCATTTTTATGTGAGTGAAAAGGGTTGTGCTGCATGCCATTCCAATTGTTTAACATGCTCTTCAAATGCCGAAAGCACCTGTTTGTCATGTGTAAAAAATGTTCGTTATCTTGATAATGGGTATTGCAATGAATGCGATTTAAATTGTGTTTATGGTAAATGTGTTGATATATCGGGGTGTACGGAATGTCCAGTAAAATATTATGTTAATAACAAGAAGTGTTCTGCGTGTCATCCAACATGTTATACATGTTCTTCAAATATGGAAAACACATGTTTGACATGTGAAAGGGGAATATATTACAATAGTGGATTATGTACAGTTTGTGATACATTATGTACTAATAACTGTGATACGACTCTTGGTTGTACGTTGTGCCCCGATGGACATTTTATCGAGAACAAAAGATGTTCTCCATGTGATTCAAATTGCAAGACATGTTCCATGCAAAGTACACACTGTCTATCTTGCAAAGAAAATACATATTTTCAAAATAATAAATGTTTACAATGCAGTCCTTATTGTTTTACAAATAAGTGTGATACTGTCCAGGGTTGTACCGAATGCATAAATGGTTATTATAAAAACAATATGACTTGTTCTAAATGTCACGAAGAATGTCTTACATGTGACAATGGTTCTAATAATGATTGTCTATCATGTACAGACAAGGTTCGTTATTTGGTCGGAAGACAATGTGTTTTATGCGACACAAATTGTGCACAAAATATGTGTTTAAATACAACCGGATGCACTCAATGCAACCAACACTATTTCATTGAAAACAGAAGCTGTTCATTATGTCATGAAACGTGTCTGACGTGTTCAAACAACCAAGTAAATGGGTGTTTAACATGTGAAAAAGGAAAATATCTCGACAACAATCAATGCGTTGAATGTGATGATAATTGTGAAGTAAACATGTGTGATGTTGTGAGTGGATGTCAAAAATGCAAAGTTGGATATTTTCCAAAAGAAAAACGATGCTCTCCGTGTAGTAAAATGCCAAATTGTGTAACATGCAGTCAAACAGAAAAGTATCAATGCACATCTTGTAGAGTCAGATTTGTAGTCACTAATTATCAATGTGAATGTCCAAGCCACCTTTACCAAAACAATTCAAGTAGTTGTGACGAATGTTATAACATTAAACCCAAATGTAAGTTGTGTCAGAATTACGGAAATTATGGAACAGAATGTAAAATATGTTATCCGCCTTTTGAACTCTTTGAAGGAAGTTGCGTTGAATGCAAAAGCTACACAAATTATATTGGAAGTGTTTGTGTAAATAACAATGGAAATTGTGAACTTCAGAATGGAGAAAACGAATGCCTGAAATGTCCAACTGAATATCATTTAAGGAATAAAACATGTAAACCTTTTGACAACAAAAATTTGTGTGAAACAAACTCAAAAATCACTTGTGAAGATTGTGGAAATGGAATCACAACGACTGGAAATTGCGAAGAGTCGAGCTACAAATATTATTATAAAAATAAAACAACGACAATATGTCTTCAATGCAACGATAATAACCATTTTGATACAAATGGAATTTGTGAAAACAACAATAAAAACTATTCATATCTTAACAATGTGGTTTTTAAATGTAATGAGGATCAATACCTCGATAATAATAATTTGTGTCATAATTGTAAAGATGATCAAACAAATAGCATAAAATGTAAAATGGTGAATTTTAAAATACATTGGATTAACTGTGAAAATAACAAAGTGATTAACACAAATAAAGACATGTGTATTTCACACGATAAATGCGACACAGTTGATGGAAATGACTGCGTGAGTTGTGTTGCAAATATCAATACTTATATTAAAGAAAATATGTGTATAAATTGTAACATAAATGATTGTTTAAATTGTCTTAATGGTAAATGTATCACTTGTTCAGATGGGTATCTATTGACAACAACCAACCAATGTGAAACAAAAGAAACATATAATTGTGAAATAATATTTTTAAACAAATGTATAAAGTGTTTACTGATGTATATAAGAGTTGAAAAAAACACGGATGATTCACAATATTGTAAAATAATTGGTAATGACATTAAATATGCAACCAAGTCTTTTATTAACTACATGGTTGTTATATATGAATGTAATAATGGATTTCTATTATATGATGGAATTTGTATAAACAAAATCAGCCAAGCTAAACAAACTGAGAGTGAAACGGATAGATGTCAAATTAAATCATCAAAAGGGTGTATTTCTTGTTTGGATGGATATTACTTAACAAACAACAGTTGCAACAAATGTGAAAACAACTGTATGACTTGTTTTAATTCAACATATTGTTTGTCATGTCGTCCAGAATTGGAGTTTTTAAATAAAGATAATACATGTGAACCAACAGAAGACTTTTTCAAAAAGTGCAAAAAAGAAATGCCAAACATGATTGGGTGTGCACTATGCAAAGAGGGGTATTACAGAGAACAAAGTGATTGTGTTGCTTGTGACTCCACGTGTGCGGGGTGTAAAGATAAAATTTCGTGTATTACATGTAAATCAAATTATTTCTTGATACCATCAGAAATGTTGACGTGTCAAAGTTATTCAGGACTTGTTGGATGCGCAGATAAAACGCAATTTGGTTGTAAACGATGTGAAGAGGGGTATTACTTGGACTCGATTATTCCTCGGTGTAAAACATGTATTGAAAACTGTTCAAAGTGTTCAAATAAAGAAACGTGTCAAGCGTGCCAAAAAGACAAGATATATGTCAACAACAAGTGTGTTCATTATACTCATTTTAAGTTTTGTATTGAAGCGTTTAATAATGAATGTTTGAAATGTAGTCAAGGAAAACAACTTAGTGATGATAGAAAATTATGTGAAGACACCTCAAACACAGTTTTGATAACAAGTCTATCAGTCACTTTTGTAGTAATAGTTATTATTGTAGTTATAGTACTATTATTTACACTTTCCTATTTGTACAATTACTTTGGAAACAAAAAGAAGATGCAAAATGTTTGTGTATTCAAAATGAAGCGATCAAATGTTGCGTTTTATGATATCAATGAATGGCTTGTATCCAACAAGAAAACACTTGTCTTTGTTAACGATGACAATGAAAATAACGACATTCCAGTTGGTAAAGAAACACGCGAATTGTTGTGTGTTGGAAACAAGTCGAAAAATACAATTAAAATCCAGTTTAGTGTTTTAAAAGAATGTGAGAATTACAACATCAGAACGGAGCCAAGTTTGGTAAATTTAAAAAGTGGAGAAGCGTGTGAATTTGAAATGTTTTTAACACCAATTTGTTCTTGCAACATCGAAGAGAAAATTGTATGTGTTGGTCTTGATATTCAAAAAGGTTTACAAATGGTCCAACAAATACCAATAAGTGCAAAAACACAAATGACAACACACCTTGATTACCATGAGTTACAAGAGGAAAAACGACTTGGTGAAGGCTCGTTTGGAATTGTGTATTTGGGTGAATTTAGAGGATACAAAGTTGCAATTAAAAAAATGAAAGAGGGGTGTGATGACGAAATAAAAATTACAGAATTTGAAAAGGAGGTTAATATGTTGGATAAATTTAGAAGTGACTATTTGGTCCACTTTTATGGTGCTGTGTTCATACCAAACAAGATATGTATGGTCACTGAATTTGCTCAATTTGGCAGTTTGAACGACTTGATAAAGAACAAAAATAAAATAACAATACAAAATGAAATTAAAATAAAATTCATGAATGATATGGCAAATGGGTTGCTTTACTTACACACAAATGGGATTGTACATAGAGACATCAAACCAGACAATTTACTTGTGTTTTCACTTGATCTCGACGACAAAGTGAATGCGAAGTTGACTGATTTTGGAAGTGCAAGAAATATTAATTTACTGATGACGAACATGACATTCACCAAAGGTATTGGAACACCAGTGTACATGGCACCAGAGGTGTTGAAAAAAGAAAAGTACAAGAAGAGTGCAGATATCTATTCATTTGGTGTCACTTTGTACGAAACTTTAAAATGGGAAGAAGCATACGACAAAGACAGGTTTAAGTTTCCATGGAAAATAGCAGAATTTGTGATTTCGGGTAAACGACTTGAGAGAAATGAAAATATGAGTGAAGGTCAATATGAATTGATTCAAAAATGTTGGAGTCAACAACCAAAAGATAGACCAAATATCAATGAAGTGGTCAATTTTTTGAAAACAATATAAAAATTAATTTAGTTTAACTTTTTAATGTTTTTATCAAAAACGGCTAACTTTTTAATAGTGATAGCAAAATGATTTATAGCCATCTATGAAAAGTTAAATTTAAACCATCTTCATTGTCTAACCTTCTGTGAGTAGTAACATATTGAAAAGTCAACATAACCACTTTCTTTTATTAACACTGTTTTTTTGATAAAAATAGTAAAAAGAATAAACTACCAAATCATGATAAACCCATACATATACATTTTTCTTTGTTTAAAAACCTACGAATAGACACTTTTATTGAATTTGCATTCGAAATATTTTTACATTTAGAAATAAAATATTCATGGTCAATCTTTTTAGTTATTATTAAAAAACACAAAAAAGAATAAATTATTCAAAAGTCATTTATTTTTTGCGTTTTACAAAATTTCTATTTCACATATAATTTTATTTTTATTGCATATTATTTTCAAACCCAATCTTCAAGTTAACCCCAAAACTAGAATCACACAAATTAAATTGTTTGTTTGTTTAATTCCAAATTTAATCTGTGTTCTATTTCGGATATAGAAAGTCTCTCATTTTTATTATGACACCAACACGCACATATCAAAGAATAATGTGAATTTAACATGTTGTTCAGACAAGTAGTCTTTCTCCAGATATAACATACTCAACAATTTTCCACGGAAATTTAAACTGTTTAACTGGATATGCTTCACACCACCCAAAAATTTCGTACATAGTCACACCAAATGAATACACG